TTTATGATTAAAGGCACTTTCAGACTAATTTTCATATATTTTGAAATTAATATTTTATTAAATAATCTTAAAAACACATTAATTTAATATATTTAATAAAATTTATTTTTTTTAAATATTAACCTTAAAATTTGAATCATTCACTTAATTTACAAAACTACAACTGCTTACCAGTGCTGGTAGACTCAATCTTTGTGTATGTTTGATGTGTACCATGATATCAGAAAACAATTCAATTATTTTTACCAACTCTGCACCATCCTAGCACCTTAACTTCTGTTCAGGCTGCTCTAAAGTAGCCCATATCTTTTCTTTTTCCCTTTTCTTTTCTATAATTTCGATGATTCAATTTTGAGCTACCTAAAGAATGATTGAAAGTAATATTCTCCTATGAAAAGAAAGTGAGAATCCATAAAGGTTAAAATATCAATTTGTCCCTCAACTTTCAAATTTATATCAAAATTATCCTTCAATTTTAAAAATTATTAAATTATCCCTAACTTTAATTTGTGATACCAAAATAGTCTTCAAACTTTAAAGATAATACCAATTAAATCCTTAAACTTTGAAGACAAGTACCAGTTTAGTTCTTTAACTTTAATTACAAATACCAATTTAGTTTTCTAACTTTAGTTCCATATCAATCTAATATGTAAATTGAAATATACCATAATAGCAAAATATAATTGATTTTATACATCATTAATATTAAAAAAAAAAACTGATTTTGTGATAAAATAACAAGGTTACAGAAAGCGCTAGGCGATAGTGGGCGATTGCCTACAGCTTAGAGTCTAGAGTGCATATGCAATGCCTAGGCTGCCTAGGTGGTTTTTTTTTTAATAACAATTTTTTGATATAATTTGAAGAAAATAAGAAAAAAATGTAAAATAATTTTAAAAATTTTAAAATAAATAGAAAAATTGTCTAAAGAGTAGAATTTAGGGGAATTACTTGACATTTAATTTTTTAATATAATTTTTACAATAAGTTAAATGACAACATTTTATTAGGCTAAAAAATTAATAAAAAAAATTTGCTCAGACGCTTTAGGCACCATTAAGCACATCTAATAGTGCCTAGGAGTGCTTAATTGATTTGGGCAATGCAAACCGTATTAAATTTCTGCCTAGAGACTGATGTGGGTGGAATGGCACCACCTAGAGCCTAGGTGGTGCCTAGGCCTGCTTTTTACAACATTGTAAAATAATGAGTTACTTGATACTTATGTTAACAGAGGGACTTTTTTGGTATTAAAAATTTAAGTTTGGGGATAATTTTGATATTTTTTTGAAGCTGAGGGATACTTTTGGTACAAATCTAAAAGTTGAGGGACCATATTAGTATTTTAACCAATCATAAAACTAGCGAGCAATCCAAAAGGAAGAAAAATAAAAATGAGAAAGAGAAAAAGGTGAAGACATGGCATGGGAGTATAAATTGGTGGCTGGGGCAGGCGTCAATGTCACGCGCACCCTATAACTTGTTTGCTCTCCTCTCTGGGAAGTTGCCAGGAAGCATTACCTGAGTTGAGTGTTGAGGGCATGGAACCTGGATACGCCTGACTCAATCAAACAGATTCAATATTGTGATGAGGTTGAAGAATTTCTCACAAACCATTCAAACAAAAAACAAATTTCTTTATGCTTTACATGTATGTATGAGATTTAAGATTGTCTGAAAACGCCAAATCCTTGTGTATTTTCCATCAAAATATTAGTGCCAATTTTTTGACGCCCTCACTAACAGACTAAACCTATATTTGCTGAATTGTATCATGAAGAAACTTGGAAAAAGTTGATTGCTTTTTCATCATCAGCCTTAAAAATCTAAGGCCAGTTTCTTAGGATTTGGTCTAAAAATAAAGTTAGAAGATTTCTTGTGTTGGAGCCTGGAATTAAGCAAATTAAACCACAATTTGGAGGATTCAAAATACTCAGAAGATAACGTGAAATTCTTATTCATTGTATACCCAACATCTGAGGTGGATAAAGATACAAACACAAAACCTCTCCCAAACACATCATCTCCTCCCTAAAATTTTCAGAAAACAATTGAAGAGGTCTATTACAAGATATAACAGACTTTAACAAGATAAAGCCATGTGGATTAATATAGGACATTGATAAAAACAAAAAAAAAAAAAAAAAAAAAAAACTTGGGTTAAGCAGATGACATCTTTAACTTTCTACAGGTAAAAAGGACTAAACAGAAGCTGTGACTGTGGATCTAAAATGACAGATTTCACCTCTTGGAGGATTCTTCTGCAGATCACATCTTTAACTTTGTATAGGTAAAAGAGACAAAACAGAAGCTGTGAATCTGGATCTAAAATGACAGATTTCATGTCTTGGAGGATTATTCTGCCTTTGAGAAGGCGGAGACGAGAGTCTTGCACAATCTCTTGAACATTTTTGCTTTCACTTGACCCCTCTTTGGAGGAAGTCTTGCCTCCTTCTCCTTCTTCTCTTTCTTCTGGAAAGTCGAACCAGATGCTGACATTGTGCACGATATCTGCACACAGAAAGAAAACTAATGTTAACATAAATAAGAAGATGAAAGGAGGACTACAGACTTTATCAGGAATCAGGATACCTTGTACGGACACAGAGGAGGAGGAGGACGGAGGGAGGGGAAGGAAGAGAGATTTTTTCTTAGTAATTA